AAAGGAAATACGGTAGAAATAGATATCAATGGTTGGAACGGATGGGTCCTGAGAACATGCAGCACTGTGAGCACAGAATATAGGTGTACTTGTTCACCTGGACAACTCTAAGGAACTTCAGTACCAATCAGCCCATATTTGTGACATTGGTAATGCCTGGATATAGATGATGTGATGGGAGGTCTTAGCTGCTGGTTTAGATTGTTTTGTATGAAACATACAGGAGATGGAACACTCAATATTGATTCTCCCATCTTCACACCAGTATGAGGTTTTGTCCGTAATTTTATGGAGGCCCAAGGGTTGGAAAGGTTGCTGGGGGCAAGTGGGGTATTTATCATTTACATATACACACTGAAGCAGTGTTGATCTTGGTTAACCCTTGCAGCTACTCAACAGACAAGGTGTAAAGACTCAAATAACCTGATCTAGGATACAACTGCTAATTCTGAAGATTCTGTTTACTAAGAAGACTATTAAAGAGATCTCTGGCAGTTCTACTAGGTATGAAAACCCTGGTCCCGATTTATCTGTTATTAGAATGCCCAATACTACTCCAGTTTTGAGCTTTTAAACTGCTCTTCCTATTAGTCGGAGAAAACAAAGTGTATAAAAGGTAGATCTGGGCACATCTAAGCCACAGTCTATGCTCCTATTGATCTACTGTCTGCTTCCCTAGTGAAGTACAGCCTTCTTAAAATTTCTACTGGATGCGAACATCTCCACCTGCAGTAAGATAGGTCCCTGAATAACAGCTGCAATATTACTTGGTCCAGAGACTGCACAGCATTGTCTCTCTGCTTTAGCTCCTTTTATGTGGAGTACTCTGATTGAAACAAAGTAATGTTTTGTCCAGGACAGCGTCCATAAGCTCTCAGGTCAACTTTTTGAGTTCCCTTTTCTGGTTTACATATGCTGCAGCTGTCTGGTCGCCGAACTGGCTCAGGGAGTGCTCTTTCCTCAAGTGATCAGTGAAGTCTTGAAGGGCCAACCTAATTACTTATCTCTAGCAAAAGTTGACATTTTGAAGCCTCTCATACCTTGACTATGTTCCGTGTGTGTCTTCAATGTGCTTCTCATATTTAAATGCTGGTGCCTGTGGCTAGGCTAGGGCTTTAGGGACCAGATTGTGAAAGGAGAATTGTTACATAAGACAGTGGATCCCTCTTGAATGGTATTTTCACATTCCTTTGTTTCCTTTGGAAATTAATCTATTGTCATAAGACTCTCTGAAACTCTCACACGTATTGTTTTTAGGATTGGTGTAATCTCAGTACAGGACATTAGAAGACACAGAAGCTGCAGGCAAAGAAGGATTGATATCACTCAGCTCCATGATACTTGGAAATTAGAAACTGAATCATATCGATTTTTTTCCTGAGTCAGAAAGACTATGGCACTTCTTGTGTCTGTCTCAATCCCAGGTGAATGATTTTCCAAAATAGAATTAGGTCTATTAAAAATCTTTGTGCTTGAAGCATGGACTATATATCCTCATATCAACTGAGACTGGATATTTCATATGCCTTATAACTAACGATCTATTTTATCTCATACACATCGTGAATGAGAAGTTGGCAAACAGCAGTTTTTTGTAAGAAACATAGGTCACTTTTCTAAGGAAAATCGTGAATATTGTACTTGCATTTCCAAATAATGTTAATAAGTTTTAGATAAGAATTACAAATAAATAATATAAACTAATTATGCCCTAGCTTTCTTCAGATTTGGAAACAAAAGTAGCTTAATATGATCTATATATCTTTAATGCCCCTTGCCTCTTTGCTGTCACTCATTAAGTAAAGAAGAAGAAAAGGATTGTCTCTCATCGTCCTATCACAGGTAACCTATGTTTGGGATTTTCCTAAGAAAAGAGCACAGGGATAATTCTGGGAGTTTCCCGTACTTTGCCCCTCTGGAAGATGCTCTGTATATTCTGTGCTCAGTGCAGCTGTTCTGGTACAGTAATTACAGCCTCTCCAGCAGGAGTAGTCCATTTGGATTTTTGTCAAGGTCCTAATTTCTAAAGCGAAGTATAGTTCATGTCCAGACTCCAGAGAAGAAAACAAACAACAAGAACAAGAAAGAGACTGATTTCATGGTTCATTCAAAAGCATCTGATAGTCCAGATTTAGCCTGTGGTCCACCTATTGACTATCCTTGCCAGTGTAAACTGATTGGAGGTAATAATAGTATGCAGTAGTTGGCAATCAAAAAAGCAAGCTTCCACAACCAGAGGAAAAAGTGTAAACTCTAAACTACCATTGACACAATATACGAATACTTTCTTTCCCACAAACAGAAGTGTTATTACTTGTTTAATGTCTTTCTTAAGCCTTGAACAAACAACTACCGTTCACCATGTGATAAGCCTTTTATGACTGGGGTGTGTTTCTCTGTAGAGGCCTTAATTCTATCCACCCACAAAGACAAAAGAGTAACATTACAAAAACATGCAAAAGCACTGATATTCAGACTGTTAAGCCCATTATCTAAATTCCCATGTAAGTTCTCATTCAGTTCTATTTTAGACCATCTTGTTCCCAAACTGATAGAATACATCTTTAGAATCCACCATGTTCTGTGATGGAAATGTTTTATACCAGGGGTGGCCAACCCATTAAACAAAGAGAGCTAAAACAGTGGTGGAAAAAATGTGAAGAGCTGCACCAGAATTTTTATTTTTTAGCAATTTTTGTTGAGGAAAAAAAAAAGGACCCCCTTGAAAAGAAAAGACAAGGCTTTTTGGCCACATCAGGCTCCCGTTTTGAATTGCCACACCAGACGGCTCCCCTACCTCGGTGAGCACAGGGACCACTTCTAGGGGCGCAGGGGCAGCTTTGCGAGCCATACTTTGGTGGGGGGAGGGAGGGAAGAGCCGCATGTGGCTCGCAAGCCGCAGGCTGGCCACCCCTGTTTTATACATTCTTAAATAGGGTACTCTTTCTACATCAGAAAGTTCTCATGGGAGGGAGATATTATTCCAACTTTACTTTACATATAAAAAACTGAGGTAGAGGTTATTTGCCCAAGACAACAAAGGGAATCAGTGCCAAAGCCAAGGTGTGCTTTTACAGTGCTAGCACAGTGATACTCAGAAATGTTGCTCGGGAGCTGCAAGTGGCTCTTGAATGTGTTTCCTGTGGCTTTTGGCAGCACCTGATATTAAAACACCATTGATTTATTTTTAATTATTAACCAATCATGTTTTTATTATGTTGTTAACCAATTGTAGTTGAAAAATACTACTTGATCAGTCATTTTGCCGTGAGAACTATATAGAGAGTATTTACAAATACTATATATTTTAGAGTTTGTCTGTCTGTTTGATCAAGAACTCTTAAACAGTAAGAGCTAGGTCCACCAAGTTCAGTATACAGCTTCCTCTTCTCATAATTTAAAGCAACATAAGGTTTTAGTTGTGCCCAGAAAATGGGATTGCTTCTCATAAAACCAAATAGAAAATAGACAGAATCACCAAATCAAGTATAGTCCTCAAAATTGACATAACTAAGTAAATGTTGAAGGAAACTGAACCATGGTGAGTGAGAAACATATGATGCACCTGGAATAGAACTGCTTCTCAAGAAAGCTTACAGAAAAGAGATAAAATGGAGGAATTTGTAGTGCTCTGTTTTGGAACAGACACATCAATGCTTAAAATGTTTGAAAACTAGAAGACAATGTTATTGGAAACCAAACTGATTATAGCCCTTTTTTGTTAAAACATAGGAAACGATAAGAGTTTATAATAATGAAGAGAAAAATACAATTGATTGAATTCACATTTTAAAAAAATGAAATGGACAAATTTTAACAATCCCCATTTTTAAGCAATTCAAAATAAAAATTAACCATCAAAACAACACTATTTTTGAAAAATAGAATAATTTAAATTAACATTTTCCTTTTATTTTTAAAAAAAGTTAATTGAGTTAAGGACCTAAGGACCTATAATTTTCCAGAGAGAGAGAGAGAGAGAGAGACAGAGACACTGATAGTGAAAGTATACAAATGATTTTTTTCATGCCACTCTGGCTTTTTTGGGTAATGTTAGTCACTAATTTGGGTCATGAACCATTGAGATCTGAGTATTGGTGGTCTAACACAATGGCCTCAGGGTTTATTATTGGAAGCTACCACAATACAAAAAATAAAATAAAATAATTCAAGGTGTTCCTGGCTCTAAGTCCTGTGCAGAGACTATTTCTCTCTCTCAGGCACAAACAAATTAACAAGATTCTAGAAAAAGTTACAGCACTAGTGCTCCTAATCAACTTACCTCCACTCTCTTTGGGACAAAATCATTTGCACCATAGTACATGGTGGTGTAATAGGATTATTTATTAGCTAAATTTAAATAAAAAGTCAGAAAACTAGAAAGCAATGCCTGGATAGTAGCACAAACTTTTTTTTTCTTTAAATGACTAATTTTCAAAACAAGCAAACGAAGTTTAAAAACTGGTAAAATAAAATGTGTTATTCTATTTCACAGAAAAACTATCATTCAAAGTAGTGCAAGGAAATCCCTCAACCTCAGACACACAATAATCTGCATATTCACATCATCTTAATTGATTAAATTCCAAGTAAAAAATTAAACCTGAATATCCA